CCTCGATTCCCTCCGTCTGGGGGCTAACATCTCATATCAGAACCTAAAACAATAAACCAAGTTGGGGTTTTAGTCTGTTACTCTAAAATCCTCTAACTCTACACCCTTCAAAGATTATTTTTTTATTTATTTGCACTAAATCATATGAATTACATTATCATTCATACAACCTCATGTGATTCTTTCTAATTTTTGACTGAGACAATATCATCCCGGTTCTTACATGTTATCACAACAAATTTTAACATCTAGATGGGTTAGATCAAGAAGTAAATGAAGTACATGGAATTAAATCATGACAACTTCTTCCGACATTAAAGATTAACTCTCCACAACTTCCATCCAACACTTTAATTACTTGTCATTTTAAGAAGAAAGATAAATAAAACTACTCAGTATCCATGGAGAAAATAAAACGACACTTTAGTTTAAAAGTAGAAATCATCGTCAAACCAACAAGAAGTCTCGATTAAAACCAAAAGTAGTTTAAAAATAAAGATAAAAAACTTATCTCAAATCCTCCACCAAACTCTTGAAGTTCCTTTGAATCTCTTCTCTCTTAAAACACTCTTAACTCTCACAATAAAACTAAAAACGAAAAAGGATAAATTAAATTTGTGGCGCCTGAAAAATCTCTCCAAAATTTTCTCCACAAACAATTTGAAGAACTTCTCAGGACTCTCCACATTTTTCTCTCAACTTCCTTCTTTTATAATTTTTCAAGAGGTGCCTTGGTATCTCTTCAAAATGTGTTTTGATTAGATATATTTTCCAAGGGATGCCTCCTTTCACAAGTTTTTTAACGATATTTTTGTTTCTAATAGTCATAACCGCCCTCTTAGCCAATAGGTGCCTCAAATGTCCCTTCAAAATTCGATAAAATGAATTAACCCGTCAAATTACTACCCATGACGCTTAAGCATGGGACCTCTGGCTCTTAGGTGCAGCCTTCTCTATTTCACCGGTGCTTAAGCGCCGGATCTGGCGCTTAGGCGCCAAAACACTTTTACACCATTTTTTGCATTTTTTGCTCCAAATTTAATCATTTTTCACTCCTTAAAGCATTTTTCACCTTTTTACTTGTACCTAAAGAAAAAACACACAAATACCTTCAATTAAAGCTCAATATCTCAAAAATAGGTATAAAAATGTGTCTAAAAATAATATATATTTTAGGTGTATCAGGTCTTTAGGCCACTAACTGCTTCAGATTTCCTGTCTTGAACAACTCCTCGATGAGATTCCATAGGTGCCTTCATTCCTCTGTATTGTGGTCATGATCCCGGTGATACTTACGATATTTCCTTGAATCCTAAGAAAGCTCCGTTTCTCATTGGTGTGGCCTCCTTGAAATATTCCTTGTCTTGGATAGTGTCTACAACCTCCACCATTGATACCTTTAACGGGGTACCCCGTAGACCCTCGAACGCACTATACAGTCGCTCATAATGTTGTGTTGAGCTCTCATAGTACCAAGTTGAACACGGATCATGATTTCTCACATGACCTCCCTGCTAGTTGTATCGACCAGACCATCTATTGTCGCAAGAGGATTTGTCATCTTTGTATTACCCCCTAATAGGGTAGTCTGTGGTCCTTCTTTGGCTTTAATCTACTGCTCGGGGGAGCCCTATTCTTGGTCGGACATTATTACAGTTCTCACTTAAAGGTGAACTCCTCAATGAAAATGTGTTTGTTGGCCATTTCGAATAGCTAAGCCAGGTTTTGGGGTTCATGCAGACTGAGGTCTATGAAAACCTCTCGGACCTCATGTTTTACTTCAAGGCATTGTGGACCACATCCATTCAGAGGTAATTCACCTCCAACATCACCCTTTGGAAGTGCAAAAAGAATGAGCATAAGCTCTCCTGTGGTCCTTGATTGAGATGTCATAAGGACTACATGCTCATGCTTGGTTTCTTGGCATTTGCAAACTGCACCAAGAACAATCTCTTAAAATCAGAGAAATTAATGATTCTCCCAATTGGAAGCGAGTGGAACCACTTTAAGGCTGAAGACCTTAAAGTGGTGAAAAACAAACGACACTTGAACATGTCTGCGACTTTGAGCAAGCACATGACCTACTCAAATGAAGTGATTTGGTCGTTGGGGTCCGACTGACACTTGTAAGCCTCCAAGGTCGGTAATTTGAACTTACTCAGGCGCTCAACCCTCATGAATTGGTGGGAGAAAAGAGTCTTCCGTTGATGCAGGGCTTCAGTGCGCCCAACTCGTTGCCTATCCACTTGCACAAATCCAACACTATCTTGATATTGCGAGTCTTCAGTCCTCTCAGGACCGTGATTCAATCTTATGTCGTTGGGCGTCAATGTCATTTCCTCGGGGGGCTAGGGGGGTGGATTTTGTTCCATGGGAGCTTGACTTTCCCTTAAAGCTAAAACGACCTTTAGGACTTCAGCAATCTGGCCCGACACAAATTCCATTAACTGGCTCCTCATCTCTTTCATTCCTATTTGCACGAGCTCCTCTACCACTTTTCTTGTTTCTCCCACATTGGCGAGGTCTCTTTGAGAAATCTCCTTTCTTTTTGATCATTGTGCTCCTGTTCTTGTCGATGACATGACTCTATGCTCACCACACCTTTTAAGATGTTGATTAAAAAATTATCCAAGAGACACACCTAAGATAAAAAACACGAAAGGAAATGAGAGAGTGATAGAGATAACAAGAGTGCAGCCTTGAAGAGTTAAATAACGCAACCTTTATTCGTGAAATGACTCCCTTATTTATATGAATGAGAACTGGTGGATGACGTCTGCACTCCTAAGAAGTAAGCATAATAAAAAGTAATATGAACATTTTACATTATATAGCGCCAGGGTCCTAGAAATAAGCACTGTCCTGCTAGCACTCTAGGCGCCCTTAGGGTGGAGGGTTGTCCTCCTAAGAGAAGGTTCAGGAGGCTTTGGGCCGGAAGGTTGTCAGCTGAAAAATGGGTCGGTTGGCCTTGTGCCTGCCAATTCACTCTAATCCAAGGCCAGCCAATTCACTCTAATCCGATATTGAGTAAGATATTTCCCAGGTGAAATATGTCAGGCGGGTGAGGACGGATTCTCAAATGGTTCTATGTGTGTTCCATCTTACCTCGTCGTACTCTTTATTAGCTTTTATGTGTCTTCAAGACTCATGTTCATACATTTTTTATGTACATTGAAATAGATAAAAGTAATTTTACATGTAGACTTGAACTTCAATTATTTGCACATAAAATTTAATTTTATGAATCTGCTAAGAACGGTACTATGGCCTGTAAAGCGTGCGTGGGTTGGAGCATACTTGGTCAACCATCCGCGTGGGGACACTCGCTCAACTCCCTCACCGTCATTTCTATTTTTTTTTTAATTTGGGAAATTTACTTATGTACCACACAAATTGTATGTTTTTACATATATAACCCTTAAAATTTAAAATTTTTAATCATAACATCTGTTAATTATAAAAATTTACATTTGACTGCTAAAAGTTTAATGAAGCTATATTTTTGTATGTTAAGACAAGGATTTGAATGTTCTAATGTGATATTAAAGCTCGAGTGAGTTAGATATATGAATACATATAAATTGTGTGGTATGTATGTAAATGTCTCTATTATGACTTTTGTTTATTTTTTAACCCTTAACCCGAATAAGTTGCGAACATTGTCAATAAAAAAAAAAAATTGATGGCTATATTCTGATTAAAATTTAATTAAGATAATTAAAATTTTTAGATTTATCTTAACACAATTATAAATATATACATAATTAATTTATTTATATATTAATTTTATCCCAAACAAATTTAAAGATAATAGTTTGATTCAAATATTTATTCACAAGAATATTTTTACACAAATTTTTTCACGAAAAAATATTACATCAGTACTACGCACGTAAAGTAACGTGTGTAGCCAATGAAACTGCGTCACAACGTCCCGCACGACAGAGAAAAAAAACGGCGCAGTAACACAGGGATATTCCCCCCCCCCTCCCGTTTTATTCATGTGTTATTGTGTCATGGGAATATTATAATAACACATGAATAACACTTAATAAGACATGAATAACACGGAGGAGAATATTCCCCCGTGTTACTGTGCCGCTTTTTTCTCCTTCGGGAATATTCCCGTGTTATTCAGGTGTTATTGTGAGTTATTCATGTGTTATTGTGCCCTGAGAATATTATTGATGTTATAATAACACAATAACACATCAATAACACATGAATAACACGCAATAACACACCAATAACACAAGGGGGAATATTCTCCGTGTTACTGCGCCGTTTTTTTTTTTCATGTCGCGCGGGGTGTCGTGGCGTGATTTTATTGGCTACGCACGTTACTTCTACATGCGTAGTATTGATGTAATATTTTTTTTTCACACTTTTGGCTACATTAAATGAATTTATTATATATTAAAAGAGAAAATTAAGAAATATATAGATAATTAATATTGTAATAATTTTAAATTTATTTAAAGGCATTGTGATTTATATTTAAGCAGTATTTTTAAAAAAATTCATTGACTAAAAGGCTAAAAAGATTTATAATCAATTAAAAATATTAATTAAAAAAAGGGAATAAAAATTATTAAATTAGATTCAAATAATATTTTAAATTTTAACTCAAACATTTTATGATCACGTGATTAATGTTGTCAAAATAATTCTTTATTCTTGAACGACTCGTGTTCGGCTTGCTAATCAAACGAGCCGACCACGAAGACACTTTTTGAGCTCGAAATATAAATGAGCTGAACATGAGCTGAGCCCGGGATCCCTCGTGTTTGGCTCGTTTACATCCCTACTATTAACTGGTTTAATTTCCACCAAAAAAAATTAGCAAAATTATAGATAGAAAATTTCAGCGGGACGCCGAACGCTTCTTCCTCGCCGTCCTTCGCTGCTGTAAATTATTATTTAATTTTATACTTCTAATTTGAGAGAGAGAGAGAGAGAGAGCCGAGGGGCTGCCTTCGAAATCTCTCCCTCTCAACACTCTTTTTTGACCGATCCCCATACTGCCTTCCACAAACCTTCGCAGTTGGATTCTCTCTCGAGGCTGCTTTCATCGCCATCCCATATATAGATTGATGATAGTCTCTCACTTCCCGAGTTCTGGGGTGGCAGAGGATGGGCTCCTGTTTTTCGACTGCCGGCAAGGCAACAGTTGGCGCCGGCAACGCCGGCATCGGCCAGTTGGCTCTTCCTCCTACGAATGCTGGACAGGGAACCGACGAGCATAGCCAGCATCCTCAGAAACAGCCCGAGTTATCTGATGATAATCCGCACGAGCAGGAGGGGAAGGGGAGGGAGAGGGAGAGGGAGAGGGAGAGGGAGAAGGTGACCGGTGCCGGGCATAAGAAGAGGCTAAGCGGAATCGTGCCCTATGGGAAGAGGACGGATTTCGGTTACGCGAAGGATTTTGATAGCCGTTATGCGATTGGGAAGCTCTTAGGTCATGGCCAATTTGGGTATACCTTCGTCGCGACTAACAGGGCCAATGGAGATAGAGTAGCGGTCAAGAGGATCGAGAAGGCTAAGGTAATTCGAACATATTGGTTCTTCCTCTTTCTGCGATTCATTTGATCTTTGGTTTGACCTTTACGTGTCTTTATATTTTGATGGCAATGAAAATTTGTTTAGATCTTGTCTCCGGCATTGATTTTTCATCTCCTGGACAAGTTTGGGAAATTTATTTGGCTACTCTTTTTTGAAACTAATTATCAGATTTTTTTTCCCCTATTTCACCGGAATGGCGAACTGCATCATCTGCAATTAAGGTCCATGAAGGATCTGAGAGTATATTGCCCCCTTAAAGGGGGGAAACATCGCTTGATCCAGTTCAAAGTGCATTCTACTTATGAAATCTTCGTTGTAACTACAATATATTTAGTGTATGAGGTTCACTAAAACCCTTCATTCCACTTTTGGATTATAATTGGTATTGAAGTAGAACATTCATTCGCTTAATTATCAATGAGTATGTAGAATCAAAGTTTATCTTTAAAGCCTTTGCTCATAACATCTAGAACCACTAATAGGAGTGTTAGATGACGAACTCTTAGTATTAAATCATTGTTTGGAATTGGAGCACCAGATCTAGCCTACATATTTAGTTTTGCATAAAACAATTAAAACATCTTGATCTAGATTTAAAGATGGATCACTTTAACTTAAGATCATTAATATTTCAATTTAGAGGAGGTTCACTAAAACCCTTCATTCCAATTTTGAATCATAATTGGTATGAAAGTATAGAGCCTTCTCTTTTCCTAAAATAACTCCATCAAATTATAAATAACTCTTCCCCTAACTCCACTATTTGGAACAATCTTATCCTCTTAAAACTAACTCCACAAATGGAGCAAAATTGAAATTTAAATCCAAAACATAAACATTGTTTCAATCAGATTCTTCCGGATCAAAGAGGGCCTGAAGCATTTTAAGCACCCATTTTGCACTTAATTTGGATTTCATAATTGGCTGCATTTACTAAAGAATGTTATGTTATCAGAGATTTCAATCAAAGTTCTAATTATTCTTGCTCATGAAAATTGATAAGACAAAGTATTTTAGACTGTTATTGAAATATTGATAAGACAAAATTATTATAAGACAAAGTATTCTTATAAGGTATAGCATTTGTTATTCTTGATAGACTTACTAAAGAAGGCGATCTCCTGTACTTAGTTATTGAAATATTGAAATTGTACTATCCTTGAAGCTTTGATGAGACAAGAAAAAAACAACCTTAACATGTATATATCATTGGAGGTCATTTTTTTCCTTCTGATTAAAATCACAGATGAAAATTAATGTGTGTATGTATCTATATATATATAGATTAATTTTCATCTGTGATTACTTCGTATTTTGGTGATAAATAATGCATTTAGGGTTTTGTTTGTACCACAGATGATTCATCCGATTGCCGTTGAGGATGTAAAGCGTGAAGTGAAGATACTCCAAGCCCTGAAAGGCCATGAGAATGTAGTCCACTTCTATAACTCATTTGAAGATGATGATTATGTATATATTGTTATGGAGTAAGTTTTCTTGGCTATCTTTAACTGGTAAAAATAGATTCTTTGATAATTAAAAGCTTTTCATTTCTTGTTCTTTGTTTTTCTTGGGGGAAATTTACATACGTAGCACTCAATTTTTATATATTTACATACAGAGCACTTTAGTTCTTTAATTCTATGCATGAAAAGGTGGATTTTACTTTTTTAAAAATTGTAGTAGTGCGATGTGATATTAAAGAATTGAGTGCTATGTGTGTAAATATGAATGTTTAGGTGTGAGATATGTAAATACATAAGAATTATGTGATATGTCTGTAACTGCCTCTTTTCTTAGTTGATTATCACCTGTTTAGGCTTTTGTGCATATTTTAAACTGTTTAGACAGTATATTTTATCATTGTAACGAGAACAATTTAGTGTTTAAAGTATTTTCATTGAAATACTGTCTTTTAAATTGGAATAAATATTTTTCAATTGATGATTTTTTTCATACTCTATATGATCATTTATAATCTTTACGTGCTTTTCTGAAGCTTCGGTACAAGTGTTTCATAAGAAAATACCTTATGTGATTGTTGGCACTGTATAACACATTTCCCGTACAAGTGTTTCATAAGAAAATACCTTTCCTTATGTGATTGTTGGCACTGTATAACACATTTCCTTAAATTTTCTAGTCACTAATAACAAAAGCTTAGAAATGTTTTGTCCCCGTAAAATCTATTAGTATTATATATTAATCTGACAGGTCTGAACTTCATGATCTGCTTTCTGGGGAAATATCCAATTTATTGTGATACATTGTCTAATTTTGAGCCATCTGTTTTGGCATTCAATCTACTTAAGGCATTCCATTATATAATATTTTATTTTATCAAAGAGTAAATTGCCAAAATAACACTCTTGACTATTGACATGGGTCATTTTAGTCACAGAGTCTTTAAATGTGTCAAACTAGTCTCTAGATATTTTTAAGTTTCAACTCATATTAAAAGATTATGAGACTAAATTGACACTTTTGTAGACTCTAGAATTAAAATGACCCACTACAAAGAGTGAAAGGACTATTTTGACATTTTTCACTTTTATCAAATCTTTTTAAGGGTAGTAACTGTTAATTGTCTTGGTTACAAGATCATTTAAGCATCCATGATTAAAGTCTAAGTTCTACCTCAGCTTTTTGGTTGGAATCGTCCGTGCAACCTACATTCAAATGATTTTCTTTAAGATCCGGCTTGACATAGTTATCGTGTTCTTAAAACAGATTATGCGAGGGTGGCGAACTACTTGACCGGATATTAGCCAAGTATGTTTCTTCCTTGTTGTATGCTATAATATATTCATTTCAGTGCTCTTCAGGATCACTTTTGATATTTTATCTTTTATTTTTTATTTTTATTTTATTTTGTTTATTTTTTTACTTGAAATAAAATATGTTTTGTATGTTATAACATGTTTAGTTGTTTTTAAAAATACCCAAAATAATTTTTTGATATATTGAGTGTTTTTAAAAATAGGTTTTTTTTTAACAAAAAATTAAAAACATGTAAAAAGTGCAGTAAATAAACACATTTTTAAAATATAAGTAACAACAAAAATAAAAGTGATCCCAATGCTGAATTCCAAACAAGGGCCTTCAAAATAATTTCTACATGATTGATGACCGGAAGGTTTACATACATACCACTCATTTCTTATGTATTTTCATATCTAACACTTAAAACTTCAGTTTTTACATATATGTCACCTTACCTATGCATGAAAAGATGCATTTCGCTTTTTAAAAGTTAAACTAGTCATATTTTTGATATGATACGAATCATTTGAGTGGTATAAATGTAAAAAAGAAGTGATCTTTAGATGTTTGATATGTAAATACATAAGAATTAAGTGGTATGTATGTAAATGCCCCTTGATGATTTTAAGTAGAAATTTTGATGTTCAGTCTACATTCTTTTCAGGAAGGATAGCAGGTACACGGAGAAAGACGCTGCTGTTGTGGTAAGACAGATGCTCAAAGTTGCAGCAGAGTGTCATCTACATGGTTTAGTACATCGGGACATGAAACCCGAGGTGAGAGTCTGGAACTTGAAGATTCTGGCTGAAAATAAATTAGGGACATTTACATATACCACACAATTCTTATTTTTTATATCTTACGCCTATAATTTCATATTGTGAGAAGCCAGAACATAAATCTTGGGAAATCTAATTGGAAACAACTCTAGAGACCCTTTGTTTATTTTTATTCTCTTTCTATTTTTGTTTCTTTATGTTTGTTTCAGAATTATTTCCTTTCCAAATATAAATTAGACATATTTGATAAGTTTATAACTTACATGTGAATAATGAAAAAAAAAAATTTCCTCCAAATGATTGTTCTCAACATGGTATCAGAAACCTGAATAAAATCTTAACTTTCCTACTGTTGAAACCCCTTCATTCTCTTCTGTCAGTTTACAGGCTCGCCATAAATCTCCTTTTTCTAACATACAACACTTTCTATAAGTTGCAAGCCCACACCTGGTCTTCCCTGCAGCCAATACTCTTCTTGTAGATCCTTCTCTATTCACTTGTGCCGTCGGAATCGTCCCTGCAACCTACATTCTCTCTACTGCAGGCGCTCCCCCACAGTATTCTTCATGCGGAAACCTTCTCTGTTCAGCTATTGCTACCAAATTCTCCCTGCAGCGTGAAGCATCCCTATTGCAGGCCCTTATCGATAAACCTCCTAAGTTCTCAACAGCAACAACAGGAACAACATGCTCCTTTCCCGCAGTAGTCGATCTACACATGGAAGATTTAAGACCATATGATTGTGTCATGACTAGTCAACTCAATGATCATCGAAGTGGGGGAAAATTTTTTACTCTTCAAAACTGTCAAATAATTGTGGGAGGTTGCAAGAAATAACATATTCCAGCACCAAGAATACTACAAATTATTTGAGATTGAAACCAAACTTCACGCTCTTTGTCAAGGAGAGCTAAGCGTCTCCCAATGCTGTAATACCTTAAGATAGTATTGGATACAATTAGTTGTAATTGAGATATGTTTTGGAAACCATATGATGCCATGATGTTAAGTCCATCATTGAGAAGATGAGGACTGTCAAATTTGTAGTCGGACTAAGGAACTGGATGAAGTGAGATGAAAGATTATTGGAAGAAAACCGCTTTCATCTACACATGAAGCTTTTGTTGAATTCAAGAGCAAAGAGAGCAGAAAGAAACTAATGTTGATTGAAAATCGGGGTTAACCAATTACTGAAAACTTGACCCTGTACACCAATAATTTTTCCTATCATGCAAAGCTTAAGAAGAATCATCCCACGTGTGACTATTATAAGAAATTTGGTTATATCAAAGATAAGTGTTGGAAACTCCATGGAAAGCTTGCAGATTGGAAACCTGGATATGGAAGGAAAGATCAAAAAAACAAAGCTAACGTTGCTACCACATCCGAAGCGTCTATCGATCTGCTCATTATGAAACAACTTGGTGTTTTTAATACCCTTCTTGGGAGCAATTCAGAACAACGCACCACCAGTCTTATGACACACCAAGGTAATATATCATTCTCGCATCTTGCCAGTAAAGAAAGTTTCATACATTGGATCACCTGATCATATATGAGTGGAGATATCAATGTTCTAGTCAACCGTTGAGAGACTTCTATATCTTGATCTATTAGACTTGCAGATGAATCACACAAAAAAAATTATTAGAAAAGGAGATATGAAATTTTCTGATGATATTACTATTTCATCTATTTTATATGTTCTACAGTTGGACTGTAATCTAACTTTAATCAATAAACTTACTTATGATATGAAATGTATAACTAAATTTCTTGAAAAGTTTTATGAATTTCAGGTGATGGATTCGGGAAAGGTAATTAACAGTGTTGAAATACATCAAGGCTTATACCCATTCAAGAAGAGTCTATCTTCAAACATACAAATGATCTCATCTCTATTTTTCTCTCAAATTTGAGTGTGTTGAATCTATGTTTATCGAAAAATAGGTCATGTTATGACATTGTTGCCTTGGTCATCTTAATTTCAATGATGTTGCAAAGTTGTATCCTCAATTGTTTTTAAATTAAAAAAATCTAATTCTTATCAATGTGAGATTGGCCAACTTACCGAACACATTAAAAGTATGATCTAGTACAAACCCTCACACTTTTTTTCATTATCCACAGTGACATTTGGGACATTTAAAGGTGAAAATCCTAAGTGGAGCTAGACGGTTTCTCATTTATTGACGATCATATTAGAATTACTTGAGTATTCATAATGAAAGAGAATTATAAAACAAGTAAAATCTTCTAAACCTTCCATGACATGATTCAAACTCAATTTTAATGCAAATTTTAGACCATCAAAATTGATAATGCAAATGAATATTTCAACTCCATCCTTGGACCCTATCTTTCAAAAAATGGAATCATCCATGTGAGTTCAAATATTGGTATCCCACAATAAAATGGGATAACTGAGAGAAAGAACAGACATCTTCTTGAGGTATCTTGCTCAATTATGATTTTTCATCGAATTTCAAAATATTTTTGGTGGGCAACAGTTCTTACTACAACATATCTTATCAATTGAATGACTGATCCAATATTTAAACTCAAAACACAACTTATTATTTTGATGGATACTTATCCTCACACTAAAGCATTCTCTTTACTATACCACTTAAAAATTTTTGGTGTGTATTCATTATTCACATATATTTCCCAAATCGCACAAACCTTGACCCTAAATCTATCAAATATTTATCTTGGGTATGCCTCAAACAAAAAGGAGTATATGTTTTACTCATCTGTTACCAGAAAATATTACAACTCCATGGATGTTATATTTTTGAAAATCATTCATATTATCCCTAATATGATGTTCAGGAGGACAATGCAAATGACCATCAATTATGGAACACTTGATGAAACCTACAGGGGCTCACAACCTGATCCTCTTCCATCTAACCCTCCCAGTCCTCTTATCCTGATTGAGGATGTCCAACCAACCCAATCTGAAGTCCATGACAAAGAACTTCGTGTGTACACAATGAGGAAGAGAAACATTGAGTAGATGGAGACAACTTGCAAAGTTAAAACTGCTCAAACTAAAATCCGAGTTTGTGTTTACCTGAAATCTTGGGTGAGGAGTTTAGTAATTATGAGTTATTTGCATCCTCTTTTGGTGCTAATGGCAAGGAAAGTTATACTAGATACCTAATTCAGGAGTATATAGCTTATGAGAAACTATTCTTTGCTTATAGAGCGTTTGGATCTAATCTTGATAGTGTGCAGATTCATGAAATTCATTCATTAAGCTCATGAAAATCCATAATGGAGGAAAACATGTGAAGAGGAGATTCTAGCACAAAATTATAATGACACGTGGATTCTTACTAACTCTCTCAGGATAAGAAGTCAGTTGGATGCAAATGGGTGTTCAACATCGAATATACAAAGTTGATGTGGTATTGAGAGATCCAAAACCGGACTTTTGCAAAAGAATTTGCTCAAGCCTATGAGATCGACTATCAAGAGATTTTTCGTGTCAGTTGCCAAACTGAACACTATTATAGTTCTCCTTTCAGTAGTAGTTAACGAGGAATGGAAGCTTCATCAACTTGACATAAAATATCTTTTTGAATTGAGATCTACCCAATTTAGGAGTATATAACTTATGAGAAACCATTTTAGCTTATAGAGCATTTGGATCTAATCTTGACAGTGTGCAGATTCATGAAATTCATTCCTTAAGCTCTGGAAAATCCAGAATGGAGGAAAACAATTGAAGAGGAGATTCTAGCACTAAATCATAATGACACGTGGATTCTTACTAAACTCTCTCAGGATAAGAACTCAGTTGGATGCAAATGAGTGTTCAACATCAAATACAAAGTTGATGAGGTATTGAGAGATCCAAAACCATGCTTTTGCAAAAGAATTTGCTCAAGCTTATGAGATCGGCTATCTGGGGATTTTCGCACCAGTTACCAAACTGAATACTATTATAGTTCTCCTTTCAGTAGTAGTAGTTAACAAGGAATAGAAGCTTCATCAACTTGACATAAAAACTATCTTTTTGAATAGGGATCTGGAAGATATAGTTTACATGTAGATATCACCAAGACGTCAGAATGATTCTAACGCCTAGTATGCAAACTCAGGAAGTCTCTATATGATCTTAAACAATCACCAAGGGTGTGATTTGAAAGATTTGCTAAAACTAGGAGATCTAATGGATATTTTCAAATTCAAGTTGATCATACCCTGTTCATGAAACACACTCAGGGATGCTTGTTGCACTGATCATATATTTGGATGATATGATTCTTACTGGTGATGATGTAAAATAAATTCTTAAAACCGAAGAAGTGCTTGTCACTGAGTTTGAAATCAAAGACCTAAGAAGCATGAGATATTTTCTAGGTATAGAGATAACAAGGTCCAAGAAAAGGTATTGTTTTATCAGTGAGGAAATACATTCTAGATCTACTAAAGAAAACATGGATGATTGGATGCAAACCTGTTGATATTTTAATAGATCACAACAAGAAGTCTAACAAGGGAGAAGAAAGTATACTTGTTGATAAGGAAATATACCAATGATTGGTAGGTAAACTTGTATACCTGTCACATACTAGGCCATATATTGCCTACTTTGTCAGTATTGTGAGCCAACACATGAATAACCCAAGTGAAGAGCATTTAGAGTTGGTGTACATGATTCTGAGGTTTCTCTAGAAAACTCTAGGTTATGGATTAATTTTTTAGAAAATAAAAAAAACAAAGAGGTAGAAGTTTACAATGGCGCAAGCTGGGCTGGTGAACTTACTAACAGAAAGTCCACCATAGGTTATTGCTCCTATGTATGAATCCGGTTACATGGAGAAGTAAAAAATAAGTTGTTATTTCTAGAAGCAGTTCATAATCAGAGTATAAGACACTCATCTTGGGAATCTGTGAAGGGATATGGATTCAGAAATTGCTGTGAAGGGATATTGATTCAGAAATTGTTAAGGGAATTTCGTTGTACCTCTATTAGGGAAATATAAATATTGGGGAATTTACATACATTGCCCCCATTTCTTATGTATTTACTTATCTTATACCCAAATTTTGATTTTTACATGGTAAGCATATTTCCCCATATATGAAAATGTGGACATAGTGTAATGCACCTTTTCATACATAGTTTAGGTTGCTTACCATGTAAAAATCAAAGTTTTGGTGTGAGATTAGTAAATACATAAAATTGGGTTCTATGTATCTAAATTTTTCATAAATGTTTTGTGACAGTCAAACAACCATTAGTATTGCCAAAAATCTCATGCATCATGACATGACCTAACCCATTAAAATTGATAGACGCATTATCTTTGAAAAAGTTAATCATGGAATTATACAACTAAGCTACATCCTCACCAACCAACAAATTGTTGATGTCCTCACCAAAGCTCTTCCTTTAAGCAACTTCTCTGAGTTCAATACCAAACTTGGTCTCTACAATATCTATGACCCGGCTTCAGGGGGAGTGTGGAATACCAGGAAGTTGGGTCGGCCAACCACCTCCTAGATCTTGGAGAGTCTAATTGGAGACAATTTTAGAAACTCTTTGATTAGTTTTATTCTATTCCCATTCATGTTTATTTCAAAATTATTTACTTTCCAAATTTAGAGTAAATATATTTGGTAAGTTTGTAAATTAAGAGGGACCGGTTTCCCTATATATCTACCTTACATGTGAATAATGAAAAAAAACATAACTTTTTTCCCAAAATTTGTTTTCAGCACATATTCAAACACACAACACTCAAATTTTTAATACCACATAAAAAAATTGCACTATCATCACTTTTCAAAAGTCAAATATCCCTTTTCATGCATAGGTTTAAAACACCAAAGTTCTTGTAAATATGGAAGTTTACGTGTTAGATATATAAATGCATAAGTCTTGTGTGCTATGTATGTAAATTTCCCAATAAATTTTGGTTAACATTCTAGCATCTTCTGTTTTTCACGCAGAACTTTCTTTTGAAATCAACCAAAGAGGACTCTCCTCTTAAGGCTACCGACTTTGGCCTCTCAGATTTTATAAAGCCAGGTTTATATTAATTTCTTTTGAACTATAGTATGTTTATGATTAGGGGCATTTACATACATACCACTCAATTCCTATGTATTTACATATCTTGAAACCTAAACTATATTTTTTACATGTATACCAACCAAACTTTCATATCACAACAGAAATGCTACTATTTTATTTTTTAAAAGGTGGAATACACCTTTTCATGCATAGATATGTTGGCATGCATTTAAAAATTGAATTTTTGGTGTTAGATATGTAAACACATTGGAATTGAGTGGTTTATATGTAACACTTCCTTATGACTATTAAGATGCTTGAAGAATACTTAATTTATCCTTGAGAACTGGCATTTTGCAGGAAAGAGATTTCATGACATTGTCGGTAGCGCTTACTATGTTGCTCCTGAGGTACTGAAACGCAAATCCGGACCCGAATCGGATGTTTGGAGTATAGGAGTCATCACTTACATTTTGTTATGTGGGCGTCGCCCATTTTGGGATAGAACTGAGGATGGGATTTTCAAGGAGGTAAATGTTGACAACATTTTTGTTGTACTTCTGTTATGCTATACAAAATTTTATGTTCGAGTCATTTTCCATGATTGGCTAAGTCTACTTACATACCAACCAATTCCTATGTATGTACGTATGTAACCTAAATTTATTTTTTACATTTATACCTCCTAAATATTTCATTTCACATAAAAATACCACTATTTTAACTTTTTAAAATTGAAATGCGTGCATATTTTCATGTATACATGTAAGGCGACATGTATGTAAAAATTGGAGTTTTTTTGTTAGATATGTAAATGCATTGAGTGGAATGTATGTAAATCTTCATTTTTAAATAAATAACTTTAAAGCACAAAAATGATCAGAAACTATCAAAAGCATGCTTGAACAGCTTCGAACAAGTATATTTTTGTTTGCCAAATAAATCTCTTAAAAATACAATTAATCAGTGACAGCAGAATATCATTTTCAATGCTTCCTCTGTTATAAATTTCTGTATCATACAATTTCTTGTAGTAAATTACTGATATGGAGTAGAAGAACGACTCATTTACTTCTCAATTTTCTGCGCCTCTTCTCTCTATTATGCTATTCATATATTCCATTGCATTTCTCTTTGTCCAGGTCAATTATCTATTATAAATTCCTTTATGTTACATATTTTTAATGGTAATGATTTTCTCAATATTTTATCGCCGCAAATGTTGTGACGGTTCCTAATCTCGCAAAGCGACCTTCAAGCTTACTTTTCCTTTCTGATATCTTAATTCTCAGAACTTTTGAAAATTTAACTTCCGGGGGGGCTTTTTGGAAAAGGAATGAATGCAGGGTAAAAAAATTATAGAATGTAGTATATTTTAAATACTTTGAATTTGTTGCTTTGGTGTAAAGTACACAAGAGTTTATTTTTTTTATTTTTGGATTGAAGAAAAATAAAATCAATATAAAACATGCTCAACGATGAAGGCGACTACAACAAGCTATAGTTTACAGTGTATTTGAAAATCAAATCTAATAAATTCATGGCACACAAGTTTTGAACTTTCGGTTGAATATCAAATTCATCAAAATTTTACATTGTATTCCGTTTTCAGTCAACCAAAGTTGAAAATTTGAAAATCTTTGCATCTCATTTACTTTACACCACAAATTCAGGGAACCAAACAGCCTCAAAATAATCTTAAAATTCACTTTTGGGTTTTGGCTTGATACTCTGGAACATCAACTAATCTTAGCTGATGAATTTTCGTGCTGTAATGAAAACGGCTTTTACATCCGTAATTCATTGCTTATGCTCCATTGAATATTTTCCTTCTTGTTCCCATGGTTATCCCATAATTTGCAAATTTCATGAAGATGGAGATGAATGTTTAATTTTCTCTTCTTTATTTCAGTATTTTACATTGTATTCCGTTTTCAGTCAACCAAAGTTGAAAATTTGAAAATCTTTGCATCTCATTTACTTTACACCACAAATTCAGGGAACCAAACAGCCTCAAAATAATCTTAAAATTCACTTTTGGGTTTTGGCTTGATACTCTGGAACATCAACTAATCTTAGCTGATGAATTTTCGTGCTGTAATGAAAACGGCTTTTACATCCGTAATTCATTGCTTATGCTCCATTGAATATTTTCCTTCTTGTTCCCATGGTTATCCCATAATTTGCAAATTTCATGAAGATGGAGATGAATGTTTAATTTTCTCTTCTTTATTTCAGTATTTTACATTGTATTCTGTTTTCAGTCAACCAAAGTTGAAAATTTGAAAATCTTTGCATCTCATTTACTTTACACCGCAAATTCAGGGAACCAAACAGCCTCAAAATAATCTTAAAATTCACTTTTGGGTTTTGGCTTGATACTCTGGAACATCAACTAATCTTAGCTGATGAATTTTCGTGCTGTAATGAAAACGGCTTTTACATCCGTAATTCATTGCTTATGCTCCATTGAATATTTTCCTTCTTGTTCCCATGGTTATCCCATAATTTGCAAATTTCATGAAGATGGAGATGAAAGTTTAATTTTCTCTTCTTTATTTCAGTATTTTACATTGTATTCCGTTTTCAGTCAACCAAAGTTGAAAATTTGAAAATCTTTGCATCTCATTTACTTTACACCGCAAATTCAGGGAACCAAACAGCCTCAAAATAATCTTAAAATTCACTTTTGGGTTTTGGCTTGATACTCTGGAACATCAACTAATCTTAGCTGATGAATTTTCGTGCTGTAATGAAAACGGCTTTTACATCCGTAATTCATTGCTTATGCTCCATTGAATATTTTCCTTCTTGTTCCCATGGTTATCCCATAATTTGCAAATTTCATGAAGATGGAGATGAATGTTTAATTTTCTCTTCTTTATTTCAGTATTTTCTAAGTCGTACTTGATACTAATAATGCTAATATTTTATATATTATTCATGACAATGAGAATACTTCTTTTCTGTTTTGTTTTCAGGTTTTGAAAAACAAACCTGATTTTAAAAGGAAGCCCTGGCCTAACATAAGCTAAGTCGTACTTGATACTAATAATGCTAATATTTTATATATTATTCATGACAATGAGAATACTTCTTTTCTGTTTTGTTTTCAGGTTTTGAAAAACAAACCTGATTTTAAAAGGAAGCCCTGGCCTAACATAAGCGCCAGTGCAAAAGATTTTGTTCAAAAGTTGCTCGTAAAAGATCCTCATGCTAGATTGACCGCCGCCCAAGCTTTATGTACGTTTCCATTTTTTGGAAATTATCGATTCTATAGGACATTCTGACCTTCAAGAAAGTTCATGAATAAGGGCCTCTTTGGCGTCACTTTTGTTTCCTTTTTATGTTTATATTTTTGCTTTTGTTTTTGAAAACATGTTTGATTGGTATAAGTTTTATTTATTTTTATTTTTCATTTTAAAAATAAATCAATTTATTTTTAAAAAACTCAAAACACATTTCAAATATTTTGCGTGTTTTTAAAAATAATTTCTTTAATCAAACATGTTTTAATTTAAATCAAAATATAAAAAATTAAAACAAAAATAATAAATGAAAAACATAAAATGAAAGTAACCCCAAATGCCCCTAAATCCAAATGAGTTTTTTGGGTTCACTTTGGTTTTTATTTTTTTATTTTGTTTTCTTTTGTTTACATTTTGATTTGAAACAAAACATGTTTTACTATTTGATTAAAATATGATTATTTTTAAAGTATTCAAAATACCTAAGTTTTTTTTAGTGTTTTTAAAAATATGTTAATCTGTTTTTTGAAAATAAAAAATAATAACATGAAAAAACATGCTAAACAAGTATGTTTAAAAAAAAAAAAGAATAAAATAGGTAAAAATGGTTCCAAAAAAGGCCTTAATCCAAACAAGCTCTTAATAATACCAGATATATGTTGGCATTTCTCTGACAAATCTCACTGATTATGTGGTTCTAATTTTTTTCTCATAGCATTTTTTTTTTGTTCTTGTTTATAATTAGCAATTTCAAGAGTTCAACCTCCTTTACATGGCAATTCTGAATTATACTATTTCTTTATTTCTTTTTGAATGCAGCACACCCATGGGTGAGAGAAGGGGGAGATGCAAAGGAAATTCCTTTGGATATTTCTGTTTTATCTAATATGCGGCGATTTGTAAAATACAGCCGTTTAAAGCAGTTTGCTCTAAGGGTAACAAATTGTCATCATTATTGCACATATTAAGCTTTATAAATTCTGAGGATTCTTTACTCATGATTTAAACAGGCTCTAGCAAGCACGCTAAATGAAAATGAACTTGCCGACTTACGAGACCAGTTTGATGCAATAGATGTTGATAAAAATGGCGCTATAAGTCTAGAAGAAATGAGACAAGTAAGCCTTATCATACAATTTGAGATGCTGCGAATGACATTTCGTTGGGGCATTTGCATGCATACAACCCAATTACTTTGTATTTACATATGTAACAGATTCATTTTACTTACATTTATACCACCCAAATTTTTTATATCATATAAAAAATATCACCATTGTAATTTTAAAAAAAGTGAAATACATCTTTTCTTGCATAAGTAAGGTGGTATATGTATGTAAAAATTAAAGTTTAAGTGTTAGATATGTAAATACATAAGAATTGAGTGGAATGTATGTAAATCTTCCTATTATATTTTATTTGACTATATATGAGCTTTTGAAATGGTCCTTACCTTCAAATTTGATTTAATTTTATTATTTCTTGTTCAAGATTTAAACTTGGGGCTGGTTATTTATCACCTTTTAGATGCTTATTATATTATCAAATTCTTGTGGGCGAACCATTGCATTTAAAATGCTGTTTTTGGTTATTTCTGTAAATGTGAAGTCATCTATTTTTTTAAAATTTTTTTACTTTTTTCTATTTCACTCTCACCATACTTGAATTCCTCCTATTGTTTGGGTTATTGGCTGAGTTCTGTTAATCTCTCTGTAGGCTCTTGCAAAAGATCTTCCATGGAGAATGAAAGATTCACGTGCTTTAGAGATTCTTCAAGCTGTAAGTTGTCGTTGTCCATTCCTTCTATCACGGATTGATTCATTAACCTATATTTTTTTTGGATATGGGACATTTTTTTATTTATGTGGACTTTCTTAGCTTTTTGTTTGACGTAAGAATTCTATCTAAAGTCACACACCTTTACATAGTAGTTGAGCACATTTATGAGTTTACTTTTACATGTGAGTGAATATCAATTTAGTATCATCTTTTTAAGGTCTTAAATGTGGATAGATGCACAGGTTCCTTGCGTGTGTTCGCGCATGGCGTATGTGTGTCTAGAGAGAGAGAGAGAGAGAGATGCCATACAACCGAGTAAAGTGGCAAGATAGTCCCTTGACTTCTTACATGGGTCATTTTAGTCCTAGAGTATAAATGTGTCAAATTAGTCCCTAGACTCTTTTAATATTGCTTGTAATAGTATCCAAGGAGGACTATTTTGACTCATTAAAAGAGTCCTGTACTAAATTGTCATTTTTATAAACTTTGGGACTAAAATGACCCCGACAAAGAGTGAGGAGATCATTTTGACACTTTTCTTCTATACAACTCCCTTCACCCTAGTTATAGAATATTTGTTCATGAAGAACATGCTTATATATCCATGAAAATACCAGTTGTGTCTATAGTAATCATGGCAAACACAAAAAAGCATGTGCTTCATGGTTATATAGTTTCATTTGAGTACAAGCTTTCACATTGACTAAATTGACATTTTTATAAACTCTGGGACTAAAATGACCACCCGACAAAGAGTGAGGGGATCATTTTGACACTTTCCTTCTATACAACCCTAATTATAGAATATTTGTTCATGAAGAACATGCTTATATATCCATGAAAATACCAGTTGTGTCTATGGTAATCATGAAAAACACAAAAAAGCATGTGCTTCATGGTTATATCGTTTCATTTGAGTACAAGCTTTCACATTGATGCTTGCAATTTATTTTTTTTTCCTTTTAGGAAGTTTTACGTACATACCACTTATTTCTTATTTATTTACATATCTAACACCTAAAGTTCAATTTTTACATATATGATGCATGTTACCTTCTGCATGAAATGGTGTATTACACTTTGTGAAAGTTAAAATAATGGTATTTTTGATGTGATATAAAAGCTTTGGGTGTTATATATGTACAAAATATTGTTTAGATGTTAGATCTGTAAATACATAAGAATTGGGTGGTAGTTTCATGCTTGTTTCTTTCTTGTGGTGATATTATTTTATATTTATTTTTTCTCTAAAACTGAGTAAAACTTTGGATCAGATCGATAGCAACACAGATGGATTGGTGGATTTCTCTGAATTTGTTGCAGCAGCTTTGCATGTTCATCAGTTAGAAGAACATGACTCTGACAGGTGGAATATGCGCTCTAAAGCTGCTTTTGATAAATTTGATGTAGACAGAGATGGATATATTACTCCTGAGGAACTCAGAATGGTATCTTTTAACCTGGAACTTATTAATCTTGTTTTATATAGTTTCATTTTAGAATGGCACAAAAATCTTGATCCTTTAATTTTCTTAAAGATCTCTATTAGGAACTCAACCCTTATGTATTTACATATCTAACACTTAAAACTTCAATTGTTACATACTTACCACCTTATCTATATATGAAAATGTGTATTTCACTTTTTAAAAGTTAAATTGATGGTATTTTTTATTTGATATGAAAGATTTGGGTGGTTTAAATGTCTAAAGCAAAATTTTGGTATTAGATATGTAAATGCGTCGGAATTGGGTGCTATGTATGTAAATGCCCCTAAAGAAGGTTCAGCATATCCTGATCTAATTTGCTTCAAAATTAACACTTGGGATTGAATGTATTCTGTAGTGGTGGAAACATATAAGAAGTCGCATGAAATACCTCAAAAAAAAAGTAGCGTCTTTTTTTTTTTCTGTCGTATTTTACACTGCAAACATCTTCATAAATTTAAATTTCATATGTAAAATCATCATATGTATTAGGGGAATTTTTCTTCAACTGTCTATGATAATTATTCTCTGATTATAAGTAAAAAACAGTTTAATGTTTTCTAATTTTATCATAGATTTTACAACAAATGATTTTAATATTTTTTCGGAAAATTTACATACATACCACTAAATTCTGATTTCACTTTTTAATAGTTAAAAATTGATGCTACCTTTGATTTAACACTTCCTAGATCATTTTGTCTATTAACAACTATTAAATTTAGTCCAAAAGTTTTAGAATGTTCAATTTAGTCCCGGATTATTAATAGTTGTTTCAAATTGGTCCTAGATCATATTTTTCCTTAAAGTTAATGGTGCCCTGCATGAATTGAAGGTCATTTTCATCTATATATATATATATTTGTGTGTGTGTGTATTCTGAGAATATTTGTGTAAAAATATAAGTGGTTTGCTATCAGTCACTTAATTTTATCATTCACATCAATAATATTTTAAATGTAAAATCAATTAATTCATTAGTTTGTCAAGTTCTAACTATTCTAAAATACATTCTCTAATAGACAATATTAAACTAAAAAATTTATTTGAAATCGAGTAATTCATATAATATTAGATTGAGTAAGCTCTAATTGCATAATTATTGATTATTTAAAAATTTTTCATTTGAAAAAAAGGTTATGACTGATGTGAAGAGATTAATTAATGCAAATTAAAAATTATAAATTTTTTTAAAATTAAATAAAAAAGGGATTTATAGATAAACCACGTAAATTTTAAATAATTATATGAAAGGCGAAAATTCCCTTCAATTCATGCAGTTCACCATTAAATTTAACGGAAAATATAATCTGAGATCAATTTGGAGCAACTTTTAGTAGTCTGAGACTAAATTAGTGTATTTTAAAATTCTGGGACTAAATTGGACACTTCTTAATACTTGGAGAGTATTTTGTACTTTTACTCCATTTAAATATAATAGATAATAGGAAGCAGATCAAGGTATCCTAACCTAAATTTTTTCCACATTAATTGTTGTGTATTTCAGGTTTAAAATCTTATACAAGGAAGATTTTATTATTTATTTGGAGCATTTACATACATAGCACTTAACTCTTATGCATTTTTATATCTGACACCTAAAAAACAAGAAAATTTGTTGTATCCACAACAATTATTGTATCCACAACAATTACTGCGGAAAACTTATGAAAAGGTGGATATCAGTTTCAAAAGGTTGTAATAGTGCTACTTTTGATGTGAAATCCACCTTTTTATATACGGTTTCAAAGCACCAAATTACTATGTATGTAAATATTGAAGTTTAGGTGTTAGTATTTAAATACATGACAATTGTGAGCTACGTATGTAAATTTACCTATTTATTTTTGTTTATCAGATGAATTTTGTTTCTCTGCAGCATACAGGACTAAAAGGTTCCATTGATCCACTATTAGAAGAGGCAGACATTGACAAGGATGGAAAGATCAGTTTATCCGAATTCCGTCGCCTTCTCAGAACTGCAAGCATGGGTTCGCGCAATCTCCCTAGTCCATCTGGAGCTCATAATCATCAAAAGCCATAGATTTTCGCTTCGAAGGTGCTTCTTTCGTGTTACTCGTTGAGTTTCTAGAGCGAGATATAGATAGATGGAAAAGAGCCAAAGCGACATTTTTAACTCAATGTTATGGAGCTACACCCATCGGGTATTAACTCATTTTTGGGTCGTTCACTCGGTATTTTCGTGACAGGGAGCTGGAAAGTGCTTCGAAAAGCTTGTATGAAGGAGAAATAATTCTTTCTTTGTTATGAAGCTGTTATAGTTCATTCGCAGTTAATAATTTCTTATTATGAAGCTGTTATAGTTGAATGTAGTCTGTTCTGCTGTTCTGAGTGCTGTACATTCTTTCTTTCTTTTCTTTGTTGATCTCCAGCTCTCTCATAAGAATGTGCTATAAGCAAAAAGCAGGCAATGGAGAATTTGTTTGTAAACTTTGGGGTCTTTGTTGTTATTTCTCCTTTTTTGTAAATTACATTTGTTGGAGCAATGGAATTTTATAATCTGGTTGCTTATGCAGCGCTTGCTTTTCTTGTTCCAAATAAACATAAAGAATTTTGTTTATTCATGTTTTTGCTAATTTTGGAGACAATTTGTTGAAATGACGTTTTGGTTGGTGAGACCTTAGACATTGAATAAATTGAATAAATTGATATTGTTGGGATCAATTTTTTCTTTGGGGGGATTTGTGTGCATACCACATAATCCTTATGTATTTACATATCTAACACTTAAATTTAGATATTTACTTGCATAGCATCTTAGACTTATAATTATATCATTATATA